AATTGCTGTACAAGATGCGGACATGATATCCTATTTACAAACACCATTAGAACAAATCATTCTATTCATTAAGAGAATGTAACTATATATCTAACCTAACCACTTTGAATACACAGATACAAAATGGACATTCATCTGTATTCCCTTTTTTTTGTTAAGTTCTATTATTTGAATATTATAGGTGTGTTAACTCGGCAAAATATTCTAAAAGAGTCTAGTAGTCCATAAAAATATTGGGTCTTCTGCTTCACTGGCAATGTCAGAAATTGTTGACCAGTGTGGCTTTTGTATCAGTGTTATATTTATCTCATAGGGTGGAAATTTATTTCCTTTTCTGATTCCTAGAAGAGGTTTTAAAATGACTATTCTTTGATGTTCGGTGTAACATTTTCCAGTGAAATCATCTGGAACAGGAAATAGCTTTTTTAAGAACCTTTAAACTGTGAATTCAGGTTTTAATAGTTCTGGAACCATGGAGGGTGTAGAAGAGAAGAAAAAGAAGGTTTGTGCTATGCCAGAAACCTGTATGGAAAAGTGAAAACATTTTGCAGAGCTGAAGATAAAGCACCTGAGAAAGAAGTTTGCCCAGAAGACGCTTCGCAAGGCGAGGAGGAAGCTCATCTATAAAAAAACGAGGCACTATCATAAGTAGTATTGACAGATGTACAGAACTGAGATCTGAATGGCTAGGATGGTGAGAAAAGCTGGCAACTTCTATGTCTGCAGAGCCCAAACTAGCATTTGTCACCCAGATCAGGGATATCAATGATGTGAGCCCAAAGGTCTGCAAGGTGTCGCAGCTTCTTCGCCTTTGCCAGATTTTCAGTGGTACCTTCATTAAGCTCAACAAAGCTTCAATTAACATGCTAAGAATTGTGGAGCCATACATTGCATGGGGGTACCCAAATCTGAAGTCAGTGAACGAAATAATATACAAATGTGGCTATGGCAAAATCAGTAAGCAAATTGCCTTGACCGATAATTCATTGATTGCTCGATCTCTTGGTAAATATGGAATCATCTGCCTGGAGGATCTGATTCATGAGATCTACATTGTTGGACAATGCTTCAAAGAGGCAAATAATTTCCTGTGGCTGTTCAAGTTATCATCTCCTCGAGGTGGAATGAAGAAAAAGACCACCCATTTTGTGGAAGGTGGAGATGCTGGAACTAGGGAAGACCAGATCAACATGCTTATTAGGGGGAACTAAGGAATCTACCATGGTGTTTTTATGATTTGGTCAGTTAATAATCTGCTTCCAAATTGGGGGGGAAAAATGCTGGGATTGTAGGCATGTATCCCTCCCCCTACCCCTTGTTCTGCACTATAATATATTTTTTTATGGTTTATTTTTTAATGGCTGCAGAATCTGTTGTGATAACCTCTAATTTTCTAGTTATTGATATTTCATGTCTTTTGTTATCTTTGTCAATTTTTGCTAAAAGTTTTAACACTTCTATTGATTTTTTTTTTAAAAAACTAGCTTTTAAAAAATTTATTTTAATGAGAAAAAAGATAAAATAGCAATGAAACAGTTTCAAAAACAGGTTAGTAGGACATTTGCAATAATTAAAACATTATATATTATTGTCTTTAGTAGTTATTCAGAAGACAAGATGTAGACATGATATTTTGTCTAAACACTATTAGTGCAAACTTCTCACTGAACTAAGAGAAAGTAGCTGTGTATCCTATCTTGTGTCTATATATATATAT